GGATCATATATTTTGAAACTGACAATCTCCAAGTGATCATCCAGATGGAACCAATGAAAATGTGCCTGAATCTTTTTTACTGAGATCTGCTAGATTTAGCTTCTCAAGTGAGGTCATAACTGCAAACATTCAACATGATTTCTGTCTCAGACCCATTAAATTAAATCTCTTGAGAAGGGCCCTGACTGTGTTCTCTACATCAACCCTTCTCAATTTGAAGCTAGATTCAAACTTCAACAAATCTTCCCTAGCCACAGTCAGAGATACCTCTTCAGATTGGCAAATATAATCATCTATGTTATCTAGTAATTAATAGTCAAGAAGTGGACTCTCAAGGAAGTTAGTGAAGGATGGGAGACATTGGAATTATGGCTGAAGGTGCAACTGAAAAAGGCAAGGCGTCATGATAGTCACAGTGGCCTGAATTGTATATTTCCTTAAGGAATAAGCAAATAAGCACTTCCCTGGTAAGCACAAGGGCCTGAGTTCAATCTCCCATTCCACCAGAAAAAAAGGAATAAGCAGAACCTTAATTAGTCCCCCACAGCTCACTAAGTGCAAATATGCATCACACAGTAGAGTGAGTGACCACAAAACCTGCACTCATCAATTCCCCAAAATCTTTCGGTTTTAAAAGTCATAGATAAGGGTTGGGCTTGTAGTTCAGTGGAAGTATGGCTGCCTAACATGCATACAGCCATGGGTTCAATCCCCAGTAGCACAAATCAATCAATCAATTAATCTTCACTAAAGCTACAAATACTTTTTTAAAGTCATAGATAAGCCAATGTTAATTATGTTAGCCATATAACATTGCTAAATGCCCCACTTCCCCATTGGATCAATATTAGCTAAGTAGCTAAGTTATACTTTTAATCCTATGGATTGATTATCATTTAACCCATGTCATACCCGTATTTTACTTTGCTGGGTAAGTTACTCCTCACAAAGTGCTTTGGTATATCAATGTACTCTCGACCCCTCCTTGTAGTCAAGGGTTTACATGGGGGAACAATATAGGACACACAATTTATAAGAATTATTTTATGAGTGGCCAGGGAGATGGCTCAGTAGAATAAGTGCTTCCTTGGCAAGAGCTAGGGCATGAGTTCAATCCCCAGTCCCCAGTAAAAAAAAAAAAAAAAAAAAGAATTATTTTATGATAGTTGCCTAAAGAGTCATATACACAGAGGGCAGGAAACACTAAGACCATAGTCAACCTACTAAGACCAAAGAATCCATCTGAGAGCCTGGATCCCACAGTAATGTCCTGCATGAGTCCAGCTAAAGACCTAGAGCCCAGGGGCCAGGGAGATGGCTCAGTAGAATAAGCGCTTCCCTGGCAACCATAAGGGCCTGAGTTCAATCTCTGGTTCCACCAAAAAAACAAAATAAAAAAAAATAAAAATAAAAAGTAAAAAAGAAAAGAAAAGACTTAGAACCCATAACAATGCCCCTCATGAGTCAATCTGGAGGTCAATAGCCCATGACAATGCCTCATGCAGGCCTGTTTCACAGACCTGTGATGGGAAGGCCCAGTGGTCCATGGTGAAAGCTAGAAAGTCTGTAGTAGGATGCAAGATCTGTGCCAGCAGGCTGAGGGATCTGAACTGGAGTCAAAAAGCAATGTTCAATGTAAGAACCAGAGATCTCCTCAACAATATCACAGCCATCCTAAGCAACAGTCAGATCCCAAACTTCTTAGATGAGGAGAAGCCTCTTATGGTACAGGCAATAATACTCAGGAGGACCTCCCAAACTCAGCATCATGCTAGTTCAGTTCACCTGAGTGTTACAAGTTCATGACCACTTGTTAATCTACCATGCCTCTCATATCTCAGTAGTCTTTACTGTTCCCCAATAAAGTTTTCCTGCTTCTACCAGAAAAATTATACACTCACTGGGTGTGATAGAGCACACTTGTACTCCCAGCACTTTGGATATTGAGGAAGGAGGATCACTGCAAGTGGCAGGCCAACCTGTGCTATATAATATTCAAGGCCAGCCTGGACTACATGGATAGCTTGTCTCAAAAAACAAACATAAGATTCACTCGTAATCAAAGTGTTTTTGTTACCATTAAAACATTTTTTTAAATGTATTTAGTACAGTGTCTACAGGGTCTCACTATACAGATCAGACTTGTAGTGATCCTCCTGTATTCAGCCTCCCAAACACTGGGATTACAGGTGTGAGCTACCACACCCAGTCACAGTGTGGGCCAGGGGTGGGACCCACATGACATACTGGGGATCAAACCCTGGTCACTTATGCCTGCCTAGGCAGGTGCTTTAGTCTGCTGAGTTATCTGTCCAGCCTTAAATGTAACAGTTTTAAGAGTCAAAGTCCTATTTTGTTCACCATGGCATGCTCAGAAGCTCTCTAAGGTTGCTGATAAGCAGCAGGTGTTCAACAACAATTTGCTGAATTAATCAAATAATGAATAAAATCTATGGTTGTTTCAGTAAATAATAATTTAGCCACAGCATTCTAGACAATAAATCCTGAGTTTTAAATTGAAGGTAGGAACCCTCAAATGTAGGACTTAAAATTTATTGAGCTGTTTTTTTACACTCACCAGTGACTATTTTGAATGTTATACATACATTTTCTTATTTAATTCTCCTCCAAATCCTATGAAATGAACATTATAATGATTTCTTATTTTTAGCAAGAAAAGTTGTGATTTAACTCTAGGCAGTTTCACTTCACACTTGATGCTCTTAATGCTGAGCTATCTAGGCCAACTTCCTCATTTTCCAGATGGGGAAATTAAGGTTCAGTATGGAAGTAATTTGTCTGACTTTTTTTTCTGGTGCTAGGGACTATATTTAGGGTTTTTGCATGGAGCTACATCACTAGATCTTTCCTATTTGTTTTAATTTTGAAAAAGGTTCACTAATCTGCAAAGTTGCCCAAGCTGAGAACAAACGGATCTTTCTGCCTCAGCCTCCCTGAATTCCTGGATTATGTATGTGTACCACAGAGCCTATAAAACCATTGTAGTGGGGCCAGGGAGATGGCTCAGTGGAATAATCACTTGCCTGGCAAGCACAAGGGCCTGAGTTCAATCCCTGGTTACACACACACACACACACACACAAAAAAAAAAAAAACACTGTAGTGGCAAAACTAGAAGTAGTACCTAGGTATCTTGATCAATAATTTATGCCTATAATTATCTCACTATGAGACTGATAAAAAATTAATGTTAATAATAGTTGTTTAGGGTTGGCGAGAGAGCTCAGTAGAATAAGTGCTTGCCTGGTAAGCAAGCAGTCCAGAGTTCAATCCCTGGTACTGCAAAACAAAACAAAAATAATAGTTGTTTAATGCAATGACTTTTAATTTTATCTCTAAAGTGATATCTTTCTCCAAATGAAGATCAAGTATTCTTTAAGACCACAGTTTACTAATTTTCTTAGTTGGAAATCTAAAAAAAAAAAAAAGAAAGAAAGACTTTGACTAAAGAGCTATATCATTAAGGAATCAAAGGTACTACAAGGGAAACACTTGCATATAACTACTAAAAATAGGAAGTCGGAAATGATCTGACTTGTCACTTTGTGACAAGATTTCATGTGTGGTCTTCAAACATCATGACAAATGTACAAAAATAATACTTTTTTGACACTAGATTTTGTGGACAAATAAAAAGTGCTTTGTCTCAAATGACACAGCCGATAAATAATGGATATGAACTCACTCTGAACTCTACTAAAATGGAACGGAGGAAAGTGAAATATTAGCTTTTGGGAGTGACATGCTGTCATTTCCATTCTCTACCTACCTTGTAGTTACTGCCATCTCTTGATCTCCTTCCTTTTTTTAATACATGTCTGGCAATGCATAAGGTTTATATTACATATGTGGAGTTAATGCCGATGTTTTATATGTAAAACATGGAAGGCAACTCCTTTGCAGGTTGGCTGTAAGAATGAGAATTCATATAAAGGTGGCAGGCATGTTGTAGAAAACAAATGAATTATGTTTCCTTGGGTCACAGAACAAGAACTAGACTAAGAAAATCCATTACAATGTGGAAAGTCTTTAGAGCAGTGGTAGTAAACCTATGGCATATGTGCTACAGCAGGCTGTTTGTATTATTGAAAATCTAAATGTTAGTGTTTTAGAGGATTCATTGCTTAAATACAGTAGTTCCTAATCCACAAACCTCTTGAAATTCTACTTAAAATTATTTTTATAGATATAAAAATAAAAATAAAACACACTTTCAAAACAGGCTAATAGGACAGTAACAATAATTAACACATTGTATACTTTTATCTTCATGATAAGTACACAGAGTACATTATATAGGCATGAAATATTGTCTAAACAATATTCTCACAAACTTTTCTTTTCAATGAACTAAGAGAAGCTAGATGTATAACTATCTTAATTATCTTGTGTATAAATATACATATTTTTCCTTTTCCTTTTCTTCCTTCATCCACTTTCCAATCATAGATTTTCTTTTCTTTTGAACAATTTCTTCCAAATTCACAATTTATTTTGTATATTTTGCATAGTTTCATTCTTATATACTCAGTTTGTCACACCAGTAAGACAATATATTCACACATGTGGGAGTAATTTACTTCACTTATGAATATGATCTTAGAATGCATTCATTCACCTATAAAAGTCTTAAGCTTATTCTTCTTTCTGGAAAAGTAGTACTCCATAGTATAAAAACCACAACTTTTTAATCCATTCCTCAGCTGATGGGCTACTGTGTTGGTTCTAAGAGTTTGTGATTGCAATTTGTTCTTCTATAAACGTGGGTGCACATATATCACTGTGGGATGATGTTTTCATCTCTTTGAAGTAGATACTCAGAAAAGGAATAGATGGGTTGAATGGGAACTTTTAATCCTAGTATTTGAAGAGATGCTCCATAGCTTCAGTAGCTAAAGCATCTCTGTGCCAGACTGAGTGGTACCACTACCTCCTCTAGGAGATGGTTGCAGTCAGCCAGCTCCTGCTCCATGGTAACTATGTGTGACCAAAAGACAGTGATCAATAATGTGGAACTTGTACTGTTACATCATGTAACTTGGCAGTGTCCCAAATGTTCTGATCAAGGAGATTATGGGCCCAAAGAGGAAAGTGATTGATGATGTAGAGTGTGCCTAAGGAGAGTCACATGGAGAGAAAACATTCTCTCAGGCTTTCACAGAGAGCACATTGGCCAAGCAATGGCTGTGACTCATCCACATGGCTGACACTGACAAAGCAATCTACAATCTGAGGTACAGGATCTCAGGATAAATCCTGAGGGGATTTCACTGACCTTGTCAGACCCAAAAGCTACAAATCTTGTTGCATAGGTCCTGCTTTATCTTGGTCTTTACCATCCAGCAGAAAAGTACAAAAACGAAATATAAGAAGTAAAGCCATGCTGTTATGTTGAGCTGTAGGGGACTCAGGTCAACAATTCTGACATTGCCAGTCAAGTGGAAGACCCAGTACTATTATGGGCTACTGAACTCTTTTAGAATATTTTACTGAGTTTACACACCTATAATATTCAAAGAACAGAACTTAACAAAAAAAGGGGATACAGGTGAATGTCCATTTTGTATCTGTGTATTCAAAGTGGTTAGGATAGATATATAGTTACATTCTCTAAATGAATAGAGGGATTTATTCTAATGGTGTTTGTAAATAGGATATCATGTCCTCATCTTGTACAGCAATTAACCACTAGGAAGAATGTATGCAATGTGTGAATTATTGAAACTGTCATACCAATTCGATTTGAAACTGCTTCATTGCTATTTGTTTCTCAATAAAACTATGGAAAAAAATGCGGACATGTCAGAAGAGATGCAAAAGGATTCGGTGGAATGCACTACTCAGGCACTGGAGAAATATAACATAGAAAAGGACATTGTAGCCCACATCAAGAAGGCGTTTCACAAGAAGTACAAACCCACCTGGCACTGCATTGTAGGGAGGAACTTCGGTAGTTATGTGACGCATGAAACCAAACACTTCATCTACTTCTTCCTGGGCCAGGTGGCCATTCTTCTGTTCAAATCTGGTTAAAAGCATGGACTGTACAACACATCCAGTGATCCAACCAAAACTAAGGACTGCAGCCAAAATTCCAAATACAGAGACTGAAAATCTTCAGCCTTGCTAAGGGAATACCTCTATCTTTTTTGTGCATACAAAGCATTCTCTGTAATAGTTTCTTGTGGTTATAAAACATTTAGCAAAACAGCCTACATTTGTATTTAATTTTTTTCCATAGTTCTGTGCCTCATGTGTTTTTCTTTTAATCCTTTTAAAAAATAAATCTGTTGACAATGTAAAAAAAAA